TGTAGACCTAAACATCTTAACCAATCTATTCATCTCAACCAATCTCTATCGATTCACAGAAATGGAACAAAGCTGGGAAATCCACTAAATTTGGTACTATTTTTACTTGCCAATTGAAAACATTTTTCCCTTGTTAGTTCAATCTCCACAAATATAAGTTACAAGGCAGCTGCTCATTGATTCTCCCTCTTCAAAGCCTTTAGCGATTTTCTTGTGAAACAAACTAGTAAAAGGGAGAAAACCCATATGAAAATGAGCACTGTGAATCTATGTTTGTGGGTTTAGACCTGCTTCGTCTCTAACCAAGCAACTAGATCCAGATCCATACCCATACCCACATCCTCAACTTTTGGTCCTTTTAAAAGATTCGGTTTACCAGTGGTGGCTTTCCCAACAAAATCCCATCTTGTTTCTTCTGTTCCTTTTATCTCTTCTGTCCTTACTAGGGAAGATACCATCAAGGAAGAAGAGCAAGACCCACAAAAACCCACATTTGATTTCAGATCCTATATGGTCCAAAAGGTGAATTATGTTAATCAAGCCCTAGATGCTACCATTTCGCTTGGGGAACCTTTGAAGACCCACGAAGCAATGCGCTACTCGCTCTTGGCTAGGGGGAAACGTGTGAAACTAGTGCTCTATATAGCAACATGTGAGCTTGTCAGCGGGTTGAATCAACGACTATGCCGGTTGCTTGTTCTGTCAAGATGATCCATACCATGTTGCTAATCCACACAACCTCCCCTGTATGGATAACGATGATCTTCGCGGAGGAAAACCCACAAATTAGGTGTGTTGGGTGCGAAGGAACCCACGCTATTGGTTTTAGATTTTTTATTCAGGCATTTTGTTACATATTTTATTGTTGTAGTTTTTCGGAATGCAAGATCAATTGCATTCATCTGACTTTTTTTTTTTGTTTCAAATTATAAGTTAACAAGTAAGGTCTACACGCTAAAATTGTTGGGGTTAGAGTTCTCGCTTACAAGGGTCTAAGTTGGACTTGCTAGCATGTCAAAAAAATTTAAATTAATACTGACATATATATGTATGATGAAAGCCAACGGTGCACATGCTGTACATGACCTTCGACGTTAAATTTTGCTTTATTTTCTTAAACTAAAAAATATAAATGGTAAAAATTCATATATTGTAATATGAGGGGTAAAATACCTTAAAATCAAAAAATTGAAGGACAAACGGGGGGTTTTTGCCGCTAGACTTACATACATTTTTTTAGCAATTTAGTTTGTTATCCTAACCTCTCATTTGACATGACATGTTAGAATATAGTATTTAGATTTATCCTAAGTGCAAGCGATAAGACCTTTACCGTGGCCTGAGGCGAGAAAATTTTCAAGCAGTTATGCGTGGAGGAGGAGCTTGACTAATTCATGATTCTGACCAAAGATCCAAAAAGAAAAAAAAGAAAAAAAAAGTCATTCTGACCCTAAAAAATCCTGATATCGGTTACTGTGTCATAATCAACCTCAATTTTAATAAACTTTCCCACCGGCCCCAACTTCAATTTTAATAATATTGTTCTTAATTTGGTGCTATTCGCATATAAGTCAATAACGACAATTTCACGATAGAGCTGGTGCGGCTCTGCCAAACCAACCGATTATGATAGTTTGTTGGGAAAAAAAAATGATGGCAGTTTTGCTGTAACATAGACAGTTTTTCTTTTTTTAAGTTTGTCCTACAAGAAAATAAAATGTCTGAAAATATAATAATAAAAATGTATTTTTAAGTGAAAAGATTAATATTTATCAATTAAATTTGTATAAAAAAATTATGTAAAAAAATTTTAAAATTATATTATTTTAATAAAATATTATAAAAAATATTAAAGTATCTTCATTTTTATTTTTAAAATAATTAAGATATTTTAATATTTTTTATTAAAATGATATAATTTTAAGATATTTATTATTATTTTTTTTATAATGCAAACTTATAATATTTTCCTATTAAGTTAATTTATATAAAGAAAGAGTTGAATCTTGGTAAAATTATATATAAAAATACTATTAATAAATTTTCTCACATTCATGATTTATTAAAATATACCTTGAATTGATTTTTTTTTTGTGTAAACAGTAAAACATGTTTGCTTTGATACATATTATTTTTAATTAATCAGATTGATACTAACTCTAATAAACTTGGTTGCATGAAGGACTAGAGTATAATTTAGCACACTTTTAGTCAATGCATCTTATGATAGCCAGTTGTGGCTCTGTGGAGCTGAGTTGGATCCCAATCTTCCACCCCTTTCTATTGGTTGCATAAAGATAATTGACTTTTCTGGCAAAAATAAAAAAAGAAAAAAAAGGGATAATTGTATTTTTGCATTTATATCGCATTGGAGTAACATTCGGAATTGAGGTTACTTGGGATAATGACGTTTTACTAACTATTAATAACTCCAAATATTAAAAGGCATATATCTACATCAACTTTTGTTAGGTCGGGCATGTGGGTTTGACAGTAGGTGGGAATAATGTTCAATGGCTCCCCACCACTAAAACAAATCAAAGCTGACCTAGTCCCAAATAATTGGAGTGATGTAGCTTCTTTTTTTATTCTTTATTTATGTAAGCATATTTCATAACTAATTTTTATATACTTTAAGACTAACCTCTTATCAAATGATTTTAAAGATATATTTATCATATTTAATATAGTTTCATATTTAATATAGTATATTTATGAAAATTAATCTTTTAATTAGTAATTTTTTTTCATTGAAAATAATAAATCTTTAATTTGAATCGCATGACATGTAAATGAGATAGGATAAGAGCTATGAGAGAATTACCTCATATTGTGCAACTAACATAAAAAAATAAATAAAAAAATAAAAAAATAAAAAAAAAAACCTATAAAGTAACACATCTTACTAATGTATCAACTCTTGGGGTTTGGAGTGATTCATGCTTTTAATTCCTTCCACGGTCCTTTGTTAAATATTGAAAGTGAAAAATAAAAAAATGACTCACTTTTTAAGTAAGCTTCAAGGTTGAGGCTTTAGACCATTGTAATCTTGAACGGGCCCCGCATATTTCAATTACTTGGACAGGATCTGGCCCAGACGCATATATACTGGGCTGCCGGGGTGCAATTATTTGATCCAACCCAGAACTCTCAGCTCAGTTTTCACTTTTCCCACCAAAAACAGAACCAAAACCGGATAAAAAGGCGAAGTAAAAAAAAAAAAGTTAACACGCCAGTTTGGTCCTTTACTTTGATAAAAAGCTTTTTTTTAGTCATTTACTTAAAAAAAATCTCTTTTTAATCCATAAAATTTGAAATACAACCCATTTTTAGTTTTTTCATTAAATTTTGACATTATATGAAAGAAATTTCAAAGGAGAGGGATCAAAAAGAGACATTTCTTAAAGCAGGGGAACCAAATTGAGACTTTTTTAGCCCCAATTTGGTTCCTCTACTTTGAAAATTTTGTCATCTAACGTGTCATATATGCAAAACTTAATGTTTCCTTAAAAATCCTCAAGTGGTTTTGCATATGCGGAATCTGGATGTAAGTATACCACTTACTTTTATGAAAAGTAAGAAAAATGATTCTCCCAACGACCATTTCCTTCCACGCGATCGACCGTTCATCAAGATGACTGAAAGAACGTTGATTTAAAATTGAGTTCTGCGTCTTTCAAATGATTTGCCAGAGGAAGGGATACCTTTCTACAGAATGAGTTGCTAATCTACCTTGGATAATCTCAAAGACTTTACCACTACCGCAAATTTAAGTTAATAGATCCAAAATGAACTGAATGAGATGCAAATTAAAATAAACTTAATGTTTATTGTATGAAAGGAAATTAGAGAAGCAATTACACAAACTAATTTAGGTAATTGAATGCTGAAAACAACCTAAATCTACTAGGATCTATGTTAAAACTGAAATTTGAAAACTAAAGTGAGCAATCACTACGAAATTAAAAAATTAAAATTTTGATGAGTTTCTATATAAGACTGGCCGTGTTTTGAAAAAATTTAGAAAACTTCTATTTATATACTTCCTGCAAAATGTCTATTGACTGCCAAAACACGGATAGCTTCTCTCAAATTCTAAGGATTTCTGCTTCTTTTAAATTCAAGCTGCAACAAACCAAATAACCCTTATCTTCCCAACCAACGTTACAGATACGTATTCTTTCAGTGTAATCTCACTTTATTCATTAATACGTGGCATCACTCAAAAAATATAATTTATGGTGTAAATACTTAATAAAGGAATTAAAAATAACCTCAATTTGGTTCCTTTACTTTGAAAATTTTGTTGTCTAATATATCATATATGCAAAACTTAATAAAAGAATTAAAAAAGAGTCAAATTTCAAATCTTAGAAATTAAAAAGAGATTTTTTAAGTAGAAGAACTAAAAAAAGGTTTATTACCAAAGTATAGGGACCAAAATGGAAATTTAACCAAAAAAAAAAGTACCGGAAGGAAAGGAAAGGAAAGGAAAGGAAAGGAAAGGAAAGGAAAAAAATGTAACGGGGTGGCTGTAAAACGACGTCGGGGAAGTGACTTCCGTCGCAACGCACAACACCGTTGATCGATCTAGATCTTTCTGGAAAGCACTGGTAACCCGTCGCCCTAGCCCGCTCAGCCAGCGCGGCCCATTTGTTGAAACCTTTTGAGAACCAGAAGAAGCTTGTTTTAAATTGCGCTTCAAGAAGACCCTACACATCTCCTTTCCTCTCTCTTCGACTCCGATTTCAGCTGCCCTGTACCAGGAAGGTCCGTCCTCCTTCTCCTCCTCCATCCGATCTCTACTTATCAATACTTTGCATCAGTTTGTTTGTATAAACAGAATCGATCTTCAATATTTCTTGATGTGTTTGCTTTTGATTCAATTTCTTCATGGGCTGATAGTAATCTAGGTGCGTGTTTGTGTGTGTGTGTGTTTTTTTTTTAATTTTCTGTCTGTTGTTCCTCATATGATCAAATGTTTCATTATACGTGACTTGATTCTTTGTTTTTTTTACAATGGATTTGATTTCTGATGCTGATTTTTTGCATTTTGCGTGAATCTAATGTCGGAGGATATGGCTAGATTTTTATGCAGTCCAAAAAAAAAAAAAAAATTGTTATGGAAGTAAAAGTAAAATTAGGAATGTAGTATGTGGAGAATTACGGTATCGATAGTGAGCTTTCAGGCTGTGGAAAATTCAAAATGGGTTTAGGGCTAGTGGAGTGTGTGCCTTAGATGCTAAGAATCAAGATAATTAAGAGTCAGTTGACTTGACAGTGGAAATAGATAGTTTTTGATGCTTCTACCATGGTATCTTTTCGTGTTCAATGAGCTTCTGCAGTGCATCTCTAGAGGTTGTTCTTTGCATGCTTGAATCATAAAATCTGGGTCCCTTTGGTGCATTTACCTTGCAAACAGCCTCATAAACTTCTATGCCAAATGTGGCAGCTTGACTAAAGCCAAGCTTGTGTTTGAAACTATACAAAATAAAAAGGTTGTCTCATGGAACCGTCTAATAAATGGATACTCTCAACAAGGCTCTGCAAGGTCAGCTTTTGTCATGTAACTATTTGAGCAGATAAGAAGCAAGAATGCCTTACCTAATGCTCACATCTTTGCTAGCATTATTACTGCTGCTTTGAACGTGTCAGATGCTTTTAGTGGGCAGCAAGCTCATGCTCTTGCATTAAAACTGACAGCTTTGATGATGTTTTTGTTGGGAGTTCACTTGTGAGTATGTACTGCAAAGTGGGTCTTCTCGCAGAGTCATAAGGTGTTTGATAGAATGCCAGAGAGGAATTTGGTTTCTTGGGCCACGATGATATCTGGGTACACAATGCTGAGGTCTGCTAGGGAGGTTGTGGAGCTTTTTGGATCACTGTGTTGTGAAGGGGAGAAAGAAAATGGGTATATCTTAAGTAGTGTCCTTAATGCATTGGTAGATCCTAAATTTATTGATACTGATAGACAAATACATTCCCTTGTGTTTAATTGTTACCATGCATGTGAAATGTGGGAGCTTGGATGATGCACTTCAGACATTTGAATTATCAGGTGATAAGAATTCTATCACATGGTCTGCTATGATCACTGGATATGCTCAAAGTGGTGATTCACTGAAGGCACTAAAATTGTTTTCAACCATGCATTTTTCTGGAATGATGTGAGTTTACGCTTGTTGGAGTTCTTCATGCCTGTGCTGATGTATGTGGTGTTGAACAGGGAAAGCAACTGCATGAGAACTTGTTGAAATTGGTATGTGAATCACAGATATAGATTATGACAGCTTTGATTGATATGTATGCAAAATGTGGTAGCACAGTGGATGGCCGGAAGTGATTTGATTATCTTAAATAACATGATATGGTCTTGTGGACTTCCATGATTGGAGGATACATGCAAAATGGAGAGAATGAAGAAGCTTTGAGTTTATGTGCTAGAATGCAGATTGAGGAGATTATGCCCAATGAGCTAACCATGGCCAGTGTTATGAGAGCATGTTGATCTATGGTTGCCTTGGATCAAGGGAGGCAAATCCATACCTGTGCCATTAAGCATTGATTTAGTCTGGAAGTTCCAATTGGAAGTGCCCTTTCCACCATGGATGCAAAATGCGGGAGCTTGGAAAATGGAAACTTTGTATTTAGGAGGATGCTGGAGAGAGATGTCATTTCATGGAATGCAATGATATCTAGGCTTTCTCAGAATGGCCATGGCAATGGAGCACTTGAATTCTTTGAGGAGATGCTAATTGAGGGCACAAAGCCAGACTATTTTACATTTGTTAATGTTCTATCAGCTTGTAGCCACATAGGATTGGTGGATGGACATCTAATTTATTTTGAAATGATGTCCAGTAAATTTGGCATTGCTCCAAAGGTACGTCACTATACTTGTGTGGTTGATCTCCTGAGCTGTGCAAGAAAGCTGAATGAAGCTGAGGAGTTTATTGAATCAGCTAGAATAGACCATGGCATGTGCTTATGGCATATTCTGTTAAGTGCTTGTCGGAACCATCACAACTATGAATTAGGAGTCTATGCTGGTAAGAAACTAATGGAGTTGGGTTCTCAAGAATCATCTTCTTATGTGCTGTTGTCTAGTATTTATACTGCTCTGGGTAGGTTATATGGTGTGGAGAGGGTCAGGAGGATGATGAGACTTCGTGGGGTATGTAAGGATCCTGGTTGTAGCTGGATTGAACTGAAAGGTGGTGTTCATGTTTTTGTTGTTGGAGACCATATGCATCCACAGATTAAAGAAATATGTGAAGATTTAAGAATGTTAAGCAAACAAATGAAGGATGAAGGTTATCGACCTTCTCTTGATCCAACTTATGTAATTTCTAGAACTAGTCAGGAAGTCAGCAGTGGATGTATTTGATAATTTACTCCATTCCTTTGGTCAATTCATTTTTAGGATGGTTTCTTAAAACCTTTGAGGCCAATGCTAGTGCACCAATGCTAGTGCAACGGGCAACTTTTTTGTTGTTGGAGACCATATGCATCCTCAGATTAAAGAAATATGTGAAGATTTAAGAATGTTGAGCAAACAAATGAAGGATGAAGGTTATCAACCTTCTCTTGATCCAACTTATGTAATTTCTAGAAGTAGTCAGGAAGTCAGCAGTGGATGTATTTGATAATTTACTCTATTCCTTTGGTCAATTCATTTTTAGGATGGTTTCTTAAAACCTTTGAGGCCAATGCTAGTGCACCAATGCTAGTGCAACGGGCAACTTTTTTTGCTTCTTCTTCTTTTTCTCATAAGTTATAATCACATAAAAAATGCAAATTCAACATCATGACATTTCTCTGGATAAGTAGGAAACTTAAATTTGTATTAGTTGTCTCATTGTGTTCTATGTTGTCAACCAGGCAAAAAAACTATTGTGTTTATCATGGATGAATTTTACTTTAGATGCAGTTTCCCATGTTTTGGAAATAGCTAGATTTACCGGATTTTCATTTCTCTGAGTTTATTTTGTTGGCTGTTGAAGCTACAACTGCATAAGGATTTGAAAGGTCTTGTGGTTTGTTTTGATGTATCCCCTGCTTCCAGCATTTTTCAGCTGCATGCTGCTTACTACTGTTTGAGTTTGCATTTACTTGTTTAATTGTTCTTATTTAGTGATTATATTTGTTCTGTCAAGGAATTAGTCGTGGGAGAGAAATGATTATTAGTGTGGGTGATGGAGGTATGGATGATGACCTGTTAGGCAAACATATAGGCTAGTGGAAGTCTGTGCTTTAAAATGCTGGGAATCATGATTTAGTTGACTTATGGATTATGGTGGATAGAATTGCATAACCACAGCCCCAGTCTATCTGAAATAGAGGGTCATTCCATGTTTTTGTTGGGACGACAAAAGAGAAGATTTGCCTTCTATATATTAAGCATATTTAGTTATTAAATGTTACTCCCTCTGTTAATTTTTAGTGGTCATAGTTTGACTTTTTAACTTTTTGAACATGAATTTTAGATGAAAATTTAACATATTATATGAATGATAATTGAAAATTTTCTTTGATCAAGTAAAAATACTTGACAAGAACTTCATATAGGACAAAAAAACTTTTCAATTGTTGTTCATGTAAGTTGTTAAAATTTCATTTGAAATTTATATCCAAAAAGTCAAAAAGTCAAATTAGGACTACTAAAAATGCATGGAGAGAGTAATTATCTTTTAAGACAACATTGCCCTTTTATCATGTTCTCTTTTAAGAGATATTGCCCTTTCATCAAACTGTGTGCTTCAACAATTCCGTTGATTTGCTTTTAAGAGGTAAAATCCTTTTTGTCTTACTTATAGTTCCTCAGAAGATTAGAATTATCTCTGTAAACCATTTCATGTCACCTGTTATGTGTGTGTGTGTGTGTGTGTGTCTTTATCTTTCCTAGGAGCCTCTTAGCCTTTTTGCTGTTGTCAATACTCCTATTACTAAAAGAAATAAGTTTTATTTGGATTGGATCGGATTTTGTTTATCTTGAAGGAAATTATGATAGTACTTCTCCTTTTGTGTTGCAGACATTTATTATAATTGAACTATCATGGCGGAACAGCACTCGAATGAAGGTTCAAGTACAAACAATATCTCTTGGGGGAGTTCAAATTCAAGTGTGGAGCTCAAGATTAAGACACTTGACTCTCAGATCTTTAGTTTCCAAGTCGAAAAAAATGTAAGCATTTTCATTTGAGCAAGGGCATCCCCAGAAATTTCTCTTTTTCATTTTCATCTTCTAAGGAGATTCCCTTTTCACTGTGCTTTTAGTTTATATGTTTGTCACATGAATAATTTCAGATGCTGGTTTCACTATTCAAGGAGAAAATAGCTGAAAAAATGGGCATCCCAGTGGGTCAGCAACGGCTGATTTTCAGGGGGAAGGTTTTGAAGGATGATCATCCACTCTCTGAATATCGTATCTTTCTTCTTATTTAGCAGAACACTTTGATTTGCTTTGGCTTGTTCCCTTTGACGTCACTACTGATAGCACAGGCAGTTTTTTCCCAACTAGTACATTTTTAGTAAGATTTTGGCCAATGGCCCAATGCTATGTTTGGGATGAACAAAATTGTGGCCAGGGAACAGAGTAATACTCTGTATTTGGGCTTGTTTGAAATTTCTTCAGTGGGAATGTATGTGGGTTATTGACACTCAACCGTATTAGAATTAAATACAGTTGTATAATATGCTCAAGCGGAGTTGCATGAGAATCAATAGAGATAAGAAGCAGTTGGGTTGACTCTCTGCAGTATTTTTTACTTCTATGGTCTTTCTTTTTCTTTTTTCTTTTTTTTTTTCTTTTTGGTAAAAGGATGCCTCATTGAAAGTTTGGGCAAGTTGAAACATTGATCTATGTTTATCTCTGTTTTTTTTTTTTTTTAATCATTTTTATTGCACAAACTGAGTAAGGTTTAACAAGCTATAATTGTCATTTTTGTTACCTATTTGAATAAAAGTTTTAGCTGTCTGATTAATTATGTAATTAGTTTGGTTTCCTTAATATTGACTCATAGCCCTTTTTTCGAATTTTGGGTTTATTGTGAGACTACCCAGTTCAGATTCTGGGTTCTCACCATTTTCCATATCATAGTTATTTTATAGTGTAAATCCTTGACCGTCTATTAGATGTTGAGAATGGAGATACATTACACTTGGTTGAAAGGCAGCTGGCTCAACCACAAGTTTCATCTAGTGCAGGTACTGGAGAGACAAATGGGAATAGCAACAATCGAGGTATTGATTATTAGATTATAGTAGTTGGTGATCCTGCAATTCTGAGCATGTTGTTGAAAGCAACCTCTGTAACTGTTGAGTTGAGAAAATGGTGTTCTGTAAAAATTGGCAGGAAGTGACGGTAGTGCTGGCAGCGGCCGTAATCGTGTTGGGCAAATTTCGCACAGTGTAGTTCTTGGCACCTTAAATTTTGGAGATCAAGGTGAAGGTGTTGTTCCAGACATGTCTCAGGTAGGGTCCTTTACCTCTTGTATTCATAGTGTATTGTGGGTCTTAATCTGAGATACTTAAATGTGGTGCTTAAATTTATTTACATTTTAATTGATGAATGTGGTGCCCAATTAGTGAACAACAAGAAGATTTTTATTCAGGATTTGTTGCCTGACTTGTAGGTTATTGGGGCATTTTTGAACTCTATTGGAGTTGGTGGCCAGCCCACAATTAATGTCTCTAATAGTACACAATCATCAACCTCGGTGAGTGTTGTTTGCTTGCTAGGCAATCATCTGAGGAATAAAGTGTTTTTATGCAAATGTAATTCTTCAATATTCTGTTCAGGCTCCTCAAAGAAATGAAACAGATGGTTCACATAGCAGCATAAGTAATCAGAGCCAAACAGGAAATCAGACACAGTCAGCACAGTCACCTCCTGGTCATACATTTCAGTTCTCACCTCAAGTTATGCAAATTCCTACGACTGGAGCGGCAGTACCTCTTCCTTCATTTCATTCGGTAATAGATTTTTTTGGGTTTTATGCTTTTATCTAAGATAATGACTTGGATTGATCTTTAATACTTTTGTATGTTTCAGCCTATTCCTGATTCTCTACGTACCCTTTCTGACTTTATTACCCACATGGAAGAGGCACTCTCACAAAATGGTAAGCTTAAAAAATGTATTTGTTGACACTGTGCTGGAAAAGGAATTGCACAAATTAATTGGCTCTGCACTGCATTATCTAGGATATCAGCCAAATGCATCTTCAGCCAACACAAGAAACATACCAAGGGTAGATCTGCCCTCTGATATGCGGGGTCTGGCAACACTTGAAGCATTGAGCATTGTTCTGCGACATGTGGAGCAGCTTCTTGGCAATCATGCTATCAATGCATTATCTGTAAACACCTTGTCTTTTCACAATTTTTTATGATTTACTTCTTCTTCTTCCCTTTTTTTTTTT